AGGAGGCCAGTGTAGTGACATGGAGAAGTGACCTGTTGTTCTCTCTGTCTCTTTCAAAGTGTTAGAACAGAGCTCGTGGCTGTAGGCTCCACAACTGAATCAGAGTACTGCAAAATGTAGAGAACATGAACAGCAGGGCTCAAAAGACAATGCAGCATGTCAGGAAAGGCTAAGTCAACCTGGGGTGTCTGATGGCACCTGCCATTTATTGAGCATCTGTGAGAGGCTCATGCACATCAACTCACACTAGCACAAAACAGGATCGCCACTGTGATTTCACTGGACAGGTGAGGAAACTGAGGTCAGACAAGTTAGACACCTCTCCCAGAATCACAAGATTAATAAGGATTGGAATGCAGCAGAGTCTGTGGCCACACAGAGTAAGAGAAGAACTCTCAGGATGATCTGACAGAAATCTCAGGAGGGGAGCAGCTTTCCTCGATCTTATTGGGACAAAAGGAAGGGAGGTCTCCCTAGCAGCATTTGAGGTATTTGCTAGGTCTAAAGAAAAGATCCTCCAGAGCAGGGCATGCTCCCAGACATCGGAGAGACCTGGAGACTGTCCCTGTAAAATACCCTTCTCTGAGATTTTTACATTTCAGAGGAATTCTCATAGGTCTGGCCTCTTGTATTATGATTCTCTATGCACCAGCTGTTAAATCAATATGCTTGCCCGTTATTGGGATTCTTGGGGTCTCTACCCCCACAGAGGGAATCTTATCCTGAAGATCTAAATACAGAAGTAATATTTTCCTGAAGATCTCAGAAATGGTTGTCTTATTTATTTATTTTATTTTTTATATATGCTTTTCAAAAGACATTAACAAGTATATGTGTGTATGTATTTGTGGGTCTTTTTTAAAAATGTCTGTGTTGCAAAAGGAAAATTTAATGAAATTCGTACTTTAAAGAAAATATAGATAATTAAGAAATGGTTTGGTTTCAAAACATTCTCTAAGAGCACTGAAGTCCCACAGTGTATTTAATGGGGAAAATATGTCCACAAGCTCAGTCGTTCCTAATGCTGCTTTCCATAAGCACTGAGTCAGGGTACCCGGTGGGCACAGGTGCGCACGCACACACACACACACACACACACACACACTCAGAAGGAGGCAGGGAGAGATGTGCTGTATCCGCGGAGGACAGCCCGGGTCAGAGAACTGCACATGAATGCAAGCAGCAAGTCATTTTAAGACACACACACACACACACACACACTCAGAAGGAGGCAGGGAGAGATGTGCTGTATCTGCGGAGGACAGCCCGGGTCAGAGAACTGCACATGAATGCAAGCAGCAAGTCATTTTAAGACAATGGCCTATAAGTCCACTTTAGACAAGGACAGAAAACTGAAGCCGGCTCTGGGGTATGACATTTATATAGCAGGACAGCAGCATTTTGCACTTGACATTCTTTCCACTGTCACGGAATCCCCTCAAAGTAACAAGGAATGAAACAATTCATATTCCATGTGAGCCAGTGGGTTGATGAAAAACCACATATCTGTAGCTATGAAATTCATTAATCCCATCCATCAAAATCCTCTGAGATTAACTTTCTTCATGTAACTGTTAGTCTTAATAAGTTTTTCACATACGATGGCAAACATTCAAAGTGACATATATAAAACAAGCTGTATGTTTTTGAATTAATAAAATCTACTTCCCATCACTTCACATTTAAATTATCATCAAACCCTCCAACCTGTTAAAGAAAGTAACTTTTTAAATAAGTCATTGATTTAGCAACAATGTGCCCTCCAGTCCTGTCAAGACTTGTTAGTAACTTTCCACATCCTGTCTGATTCTTAAGATGCTTTCCACCAACGAACTGGCTATTTGCTGCCTGCCTTCTCTCTATGTCCTTCAATGCCAAACCTACGTGAAAAGGGAACCTCCCCACCCCAGTCCCATTTTAAGGATTAAGGATCTTCAATTTCTAGGATCAGGGCTTGCAACCCGGGGTTCATGGACCCCCTTAGGGGTCCAAGAATAGAACCAAGGGAACCTCCCCACCCCAGTCCCATTTTAAGGATTAAGGATCTTCAAATTCTAGGATCAGGGCTTGCAACCCGGGGTTCATGGACCCCCTTAGGGGTCCAAGAATAGAACTATATTTCCCATTCCATGTATTTTTTAAAAAATGCATTTAAAAGCATTATTCTGAGAAGAGACTGCAGGCTTCATTAGACTTTCCAAATGGAGATAGCATTTTTAAAAGGATCAGGAAAGTCTTTGGGGGACTGGATTAAAACTGCTAACTGAAGTGCAATCAAGTTACAAGGATAACGGCAGGCTCCTCAGAATCTGTAAGCGAGTACTGCACTGTTCTGTGGGGCAGGTGGGGTAGGTAGCGGCAGGCATCTCAGGACTGTTACCTGGCTCAGAAGCCAGTGGAAACAAGAAACGGATCCGTAAGTCATTCACATACAGGGACATCAGCTTTGTTGCCTACACGTTCTTCTTGGAACTCTTAATCTTAAAATCCACAGACACTTAAAGACAAATGGGCACTCTCACGTAAGCTCTTAAAATTCCTTTACCTCTTCCACTTAAAACATTTTGTACCCAATTTCAAATCACCAAGGGAAAATGATGATGAGAATCACACAGACTGGAGAAGAATATTTAGCTTTTCACTGAGCCTTGTACGGTCTTATAAATATTAACGAAAAAAAAAAATCCCACTCAGATGTTGTGGAGTATCAATTTAACAAATGCAGAGCATCCGATGATATCTAATAGACTGATTGATTAATTTACTGAAACAACAGATCACAGAGTGCATTTGAGACTGGAAATTGCCTGTATGAGGGACTATTTCTTAATTTCAATGGCCGGCTGTAATTTTCCCTATGCTAATTTGAGCTTTGCACTGACATAATTAAAACTGTATTCAAAAGACTCACGGCCTCTTTTTCCACTCTATAAACAAGGCTGTAAAATCATCTCATTACTTTCCCTAGGAACCTAACGGAAACATGTTTTAAAGGAAGTTACCTATGAAGAGGGACTATTTTATTTTAACAGGGTTTTTAAAAAAAAATTCACTTGAAGTGATTTTAAAGGCTCACTTGGGATATATATAATACACATATAATGCAGTATAATAAAAAGTAATCAAGCACAGTATCCTAGACAAGTATAAACTATTTCCCAAAAGTCATAAAACATTTAAACTTAAAAATTAACTTCATATATTCATAAACATATATTTTAAATTAAACAGTATAACACATTTGTATGTTTTGCAAAATGTACTCTGCCTTCGAAAGGATGGTCTGTTTTTTCAATGTCCTTCATGCACTGATTTTCTGGGGAAAAAAATCCACAGAAGTTTGTACTCAAACTATTCTAGATTTATAAAGAATATTTGATTTTATTTTTATAAAATATGGATATAATTAAGGGTGAAAATTAGAAAAAAAAGAGTAGCATTTTGGATTATGAAATTAAGCAATTTTTACTCACGTAGCCAAAAGTGGAGCACAAAAAAACCCCCCAATTTTAAAATTCCTTTCAATGATAGGTACATAAAATCTCTGCAACGCGAAAGTCTTCATTGTTATAAAATATGGATATAATTAAGGGTGAAAATTAGAAAAAAAAGAGTAGCATTTTGGATTATGAAATTAAGCAATTTTTACTCAAGTAGCCAAAAGTGGAGCACAAAAAAACCCCCAATTTTAAAATTCCTTTCAATGATAGGTACATAAAATCTCTGCAACGCGAAAGTCTTTGGTGCATGAATATTTTAATATGTTACTGAACACGCCTTGAGAAATAAAATATATCTTGAAAAATAAAACCTAAACAGAACTTCTGAAGCACAGTTTATATGGTATGCGTTAATGAAATCCTCTAAAACAAAAATTTCAAATTACAAAGATACCAAACCAAGGAGGATTTTTCAAAATGCGTTAGCCCAATTTTGGGCAAACTTCCATTTTCATGAGCTTTCAAACTAAAACCCTTGACAAAAAGACAACCAAATTCTTCTCCCCTTTATGCAGCAAAAGGAAAGCAGGCAACTAATAAAACTTTCTTTTTCCTCCTCTCACTATCTGCTTTTGCTGCTGATTTTTCTCATTTCTACAAATGTCACCAAGGCTGCCTTTAAAATATTTTAACCGACGACCACCTCATAGATTCACTGACACTGGCTTGCACTAACCATTAAATTGGCTACATTTCCAGGAATGAGGACACATTTAGGTTTCCAGCTAAACAGATTTACCTCCATGTGAATCTGTATATGCTATCTACGAGACACATTTGCAAGACAACACATCAGCCAAACACCCCAAGAACCTACAGAGAACCTACAGGCCATTCTCCTCAAACCAAATTTCACTAGGAAGAAATCTTACTCACAGTGCATATAGGAATAGGTATTTTATTAAAGATAAACACATAACTGAACAAAACGAAATATCACCATCTGAGTTAAGAGAATGCTCAGTTCTCAGCATAGAAGTCCCGCAAGTCAAGTCAACATTTGCATGTCCCGTTACCAACAGCCACTTGCCGAGTATCTCTTCATTTCCATTGGGACTGGTTCTGCATCCCTGATGCTAAGGAGTCACTGAAGAGCATCCAAAAGTTCAACATCTACCAGCCCATTTTTTCTTGGACCCTGCCCTTCAACCTCTCCAAGTCTGTGGCCTTCTATCAGACACTCATCCAGGCACCATCAGGGATAGTTAAAGAATCTGAAAATTCAGAAGCACTCCAAAAAGGCTTTCAAAAGTAATCCACAGCACTCAACAGTGAATTTAGAAACCCCAATTTTTTTCTGAGTTTGAAGTTTTTAAGCCTTGCGGATGGTTGGAGTAGGAAAAAGGAAATTTACTAGGCAGTGCAAAGGAAATCTTGTTGTCCTCTATTGTGGCAGTGGGGGTGTTGCCCAACCCTAACTTATCTGCGTTGATAAAGGAAACCAAAGAAAAGAGTAACAAGAACAAGTTTTTGTCAAATTAAAAGGAACCCTTTCCTTACCTTAATAGTGCTGGCCATAATGCAACCAAGTTTATTGATCGTTAATAAATGTTAATAATAATTATTGCTTCTCTCTGACCAGAAAGTAGTTTTGATGAGGTTGTTTAGAGCGGATGAGATTGTGCTAAGTCTGGGAAATGAAGTCAGCCAATGGCAGGAAGAGGTTTCTATTGGTCCTGGCTGCCCAGCCCGAAGAAACAGGATATTTGGGAGTGGAGAGATAAGAGACCCTGAAAACAATGTTGTTTTTCTTGATGATATGCAGCCAGGAGAATTTTTTTTTAATTAAAAAAAAAAGGCATCAATTGCCTGGGACTGTGACTGCTACAGCAGGTGTGACACGCTGCACCGAGACCAAGGCAGGATGCAGATGTGGTAGGACTCTGCTTGGCTTCACACAGGCTGCAAAGGCATCAATTGCCTGGGACTGTGACTGCTACAGCAGGTGTGACACGCCGCACCGAGACCAAGGCAGGATGCAGATGTGGTAGGACTCTGCTTGGCTTCACACAGGCTGCAAGCACCTTAGGGCCGAGGCGTGGAGGGTGCCCTACAGCCTGGGTGCTGGGCCTTCTCAGCCCGCTTCTCCCCAGAACTTTCGCCCAACTAGGATTTGAACTACTTTCTCTTAAAAGGAAACTCTACAGGTAGAACTTATTTCATGATAATAGATGATCATATTTAATAATAGCCATTTGCTAGCTGGTTTTTAATAACCTTCGTTTCTTCAATATCTCAAATGAATATTCTAGAACAGTTTTACTTTCCCCTTACAAATATATGCAATTTTTATTTGCTCCACAACAAATGAGTTGAAAATGCAAAGACTGTAGAATTAAAGCAACCAAGAAAATAAAGAGAAAAAATAAACCTGTCAAAGCCTTATTTTCAAATATTTACTTAAAATCCAAATAACCAAAATTATCACAAATGCTTTAGAATGTCAGCAAGCCAGTCCTACTCTGACGAACGTCAATGCTGCAGACAACATATCCTGAGAGAACGCCTGGCTACCCAGAGATGCCACGTGAAGATCCCGTTAAGTGTTTAAAATCTAAGCTGTAAGTTCAGGGCCACACGTCTGTTTTCTACTCAAGGAAGTACAGCTAATGCAGTCCTGAACATTCCTCAGAGGATTTCAGGCCTTTAATTACTCATTTTCAGGAAATTACTTATTCTCTGGAAGAAACAACATTTTGCTTTGAATCTAGCTACACGAAAGTTGGGGCAGTAAAGAGGTGTGGTCTCAGTAGGGGACCCACAGAACACAATAGACCAGATCCTGAGTCATTGGCAACTCTTGGTCTCAGAGATGGATGTTCAATGAATTGATTTCACTCAGACTTTAGGTCTGCAGATGTCAGTGTTGATACACCAGCCCAAGTTTCTCTGTCTTTTATTGTGCCCCGTTTGCCCCTTTGTTATGACAGAAGAAGGAGAAGGAGAAAAAGGAGGAGAGAGAAGCAAAGAAAGAAAGGAAAAAGAAAGAAAAAGAAAGAAGGAAAGAAGGAAAGAAAGAAAAAGAAACATACACCATAAGAAATCTCATTCTGCGTAAAAATTGGAACCTGATACATTCTCGGCACCCACATTTTGAGGGGATGTTGATTTCCGCACTTTTCATCTCTGAACAATGAATAAGATGGCAGGCTGATTAAAACTGTGTTTCCCCTAAAATTTCAAAGTACTGAGTTGTTTTATCTGGGCAGCTTCCACTAGAATTCAGGAGTGCAGAGGGAAAAAAAGCTGTCTCCGCTCCACTGAGATTTCTTGCTTTTTGTTCTCTTCTAAGAAGCATCCATTTAAAAGGCTAACTGTAGTTCCCCCGCCCCAAAGCAGCACTCTATTATGGATTTACCAAACACCAGCTTTAAGTAAGATGACCTTTTTTTGCTAACAAAAGAGCCATGGAAGAAAATTCTGTGTGATCCTACCTCACCCTGTCTCTTGGTCTCTAACCCAGTGCCGTTCCTTGTTCTCTGTCCCAGAAAAGAACTGACATTTTTATGAAGATCTAATTCTTCAATGATGATCTTATAGCTCCTTGGTTCTTGCTTAATTCAAACCAAACAGTGAGCAGTGAAATTCTTTATTTTGAAATTATTTCAAATTTATAGATAAGTTACAAGGTAATACAAAGAACTTCTGATACCTTTGGCCCAGTCACTCCAACTGTTGGTAATTTACATCATGTGCTTTGCTCTATCTCTTTGTCGATCTCTCTCTCTCATCTTTATTTATGTGTAATATGTATGTGTATATATAGACTCTTTCTTCTTTAACTAATACAAATATTGTTTTGTTAGAGATTGATTTCTTTGCTTGGATACTTACCAAGAGAAAACCAGATGCTATTATTTTATTATTTAATCTATTTCCTAAGAATTCTATCCATAAGTTTTATTGGGTCTAATTTTTAAAATGAATAAAAATAGAAAAAGTAATCTAATAAAAAGTTAATTTGGGAATAATGAGTTGTAAGCCCTGTTACAAAATTTTTGATTGATTCCTATTGTCTTCGGGGGGGGGGGGGGAAAGAAAAAGGGGGAGAAAGAGGAAGGAAAG